AACCAGAGTCACGGAACAGATTAAGTTCGTATCCCGAGGTACCACTGTACTTTAATTTTAACCAGTTGGAAGCCAACTGTAGGTACTGGACTGTCCACTAGATGGACGGGTTGGTTGGTTTGTTTACTAACCATCTAGATCAGTGTTTCTCAACCTTGACAGCTTTCAGATGGGTGGACTCCAGTTCCCAGAATTCCCCAGCCAGCATGGGCTGTCAAGCTGTCAAAGTTGAGAAACACTGTTCTAGAAGTTCTGTAGGCTCTTATTCTGTTGCCCGTGGGAATACCTCTTTGCTCCTTAGGGCTTCAGAAGAAGTAGCACTCTGAACAGAAAGCATTCTGTTGCTTTCATTTGACTTCAGAGAAAGTTGAGAAGGTATTCAGTTAAACTACATTTCTGTCTCTAAACAGCTCATCGTTTCTTCTGTTTCTGTGGAGAAGTGTCTAATACTCTCAATTAAAACAAAAACTAAAACTAAAACTTTGGCCTTCATGCCAGGTAAGCTTGCTGTTCTGTTCCACAGAGGTCTGTCACATTTTATCTCTTGGTATAAAAACATATAGCCATTACCAAGTATACTAATTATATGTTGTTTGGGTTGTCGGTCTGTGATGGCCCCAGTCCTCTGGAATTTCTTCTTGGAGGTGAAATTGGTGCCGTCATTACTGTAATAGCCTTTCAGAAGCTAGTTAAAACTCTGTTATTCTGGAGGGCTTTGGGGTGAACAGTGATCTTGCCACTGCTGTGTTGTATGATTTTAATTTAACTTAATTTTAACTTAAATTTACCACAAATATTTTATTGTTGTATCTCATAATTGCTGAACTGCAAGAGTTGCAAGATGTAGTATATTAAATAGGGATAATCTGCAAGGAGGGTCCAAATATGCACAAACTCACCAGATGATGTAAGGTTAACATTCATGCTGTAATAGTTACATACTTTTTAATACAAAAGGTAAAAAGGATCATTCCTTAATTCTGCCTTTGAAGTGTTAGGGCTAGATAAAATAGAGAAAGGGGATTAATTACTATATACGGCGGAGTTTGGCCTTATGCTTCATTGTCAGGCTTTTAAATTCAATCTTCTGAATTCTGCTTTGGCATACTTTTTTCTAAGTGAAAAATTCTGGATGAAGGGTCTCAATATTTGTCATAAGGTAAATAAGAACAGCAGGTTTATTTCTGAGAGAAATCTCTCTACTCATAACCTCCATCTGTCTTTTGCCATTGAGTTATGCAACTGAGTGCTGTCCTTAAATGATAACTCTGATTAGCTGAATCCTGAGATAGGCTGCCAAGCTTTTTTCAAAAAAGTCTGTCGAGGTACAACAATTCTGCTCTGACTTCTATATAACAACTTTAATAGTCCCTCAACCTGTCAAAACCTTTGATAAATTATTATAACCAGGGAAATAAAAGTAAAGGGTCTAATTATGACAGATCATAAATAAATATGCTTCTGTATAATAGAGTTTCCTAAAGGTACTGGAGCCATCTGGATTTTTGGTGAGAGGATCTTCCACAGGTGGGTGCTGTTGTTGAGGAACAAGATGTCCTTGCTCTCTGGGACAGAGTGTGCTGCCCCGACTGAGACGGTGGTTGCAATTTGATCCCAAGGTTAGGATTTTTGTTTATTTGCAAACTCCATGCAAAGTATCATATAGACACCTAGAAACTTCATGCCTAGTTAAGACACCTGTGAGCAAGCAGTCTGCATTTTGATAAGATTTGCTAAGCAGTGAGGGAGGTTGTTGGTGTTGTGTTTGTGCAGTATGGACTGGAGACGCTGTATGAATTTAGAAGCTAGGACTGAAGTTGCTGGAAAAAAGCAGGCATCGCATTCGGAGAGAGGATCCCTGGAGGAAGGAGGATTGTGCAACAGAACTCAGTAAGAGCAAGCAAGTTTGAGAAAGGGAGATCTACAAAGCAGACTGGCTGGTGAAAAGAACTGAAGCTACATTTAGAAAAAAAAACAAACCAGAGGTCAGTAAGGAAAAGCTTCACCAGGATAGTGTATTTCTAAGAGGTTCAGGAAAGAGTTATTCTTCTGTCTTTTCCTTCCTCTCTCTAGGCTAAAAGCAAGCCTGAAAGTGAAACTACTGTACTGTCTAACAGAGTTAGCATAACTAAGTTGTGATAAGTAGCACCTGCATGAGATAAGGAAGGGAGAGAGCAAGCAAGCGAGATGGTTAAGGAACTGTAAAACACTCCATATGTTAATCTATTAGTTTGTTAGGCTGAGGCTGCTGTGCAATAGGAATAAGCATAAATTATTTACTTAAAAACACTAAAAACAAACAGCACTTTAGTTGGAGGGGGAACTGGGTCTGTTTGTCCCTTTTCCACCCTCTGACATGCTCCCCTGGATTTTATATGGAGGAGTAACACAGTGTTGCTGGATTGAACTCCACTCTCTTTCTCTTCCAGTTCCTTATAACCTTGGGCACTGGATAAGGACTTCCATTGTATTACTGGCTCAGCCTGGAATGGAGATGTATAACTGGGTAAATAGGAAAGTAGAATGTAACTCTATCTATTGTAGAATATATAGTAACTCTTATTTATTTAAAATAGAATCTAATTTTATTTATTCATTTGATTTTATTTATATGGCCGCCCATCTCAAATTCATGACTCTGGGTAG